CTGGGTCACATAGGTCCTGTTAGGCTCCCTGGCTGGGGACCTCGAGATGATCGTACCCGATGGTTAGAGACACTGGGCGATATGGCTGGGTGTCGTAAACAGGGGCGTTCGTGCATCCTCTCAATTTTTTTGCAACCTTAGACCAATGAACTTTTCCATTTTCTGTTCAACTCCACTTTTAACTTTCCTTCTCCTATTTTTCATACAAATGGGCAGCCAAAAGACAAACCAAAACCGGCACACGAATATGCGTGGTTAATAATTGTACAAACTGAAACTGAAACTCCCCTTCTGTGCATGAATGAATCCGAACCCAAACATAATCCAATAGCAAGCTAAACCATTGATCAATTTTTCTCTAACTAACCCTATATTCCGCACTCTAGCGCACTGTGACGAGACCAGAAAAACAAGAAACGTGAAGATCCGTGTTGTTCAACGAACGATACATATTAGTTACCGATAAAACATGGAAATCGGACAAAGTCACAGGANCAGCAACCAAAACCGGCGCACGAAAGTGCATGGTTAATGGTTGTTCAAACTGAACTGAACTGAACTGTGTTACGCGTCATCAGATAGGTTGCCACGGCGGCGATGTTCGCCGAGATAGGTAGTGGGTGGAAAAAAGTCAACGGTGGTCAAGGTAAAACCTTTTTTTTATTACACACCTAAGTGTGATGAACAGCAGACGGGGCGACCCCTATAATCACGAGGACCTGCTTAGTCCACGGTTAATGGTTGTACAGACCTGAATGCCATCATATACTAGTAATAAATATTTACTCACAATAATTAATGACTATTCGCGATTTCTGTTCGCATTTCCGTATATCGACATGATAAATACAACTGTTATCAATCACCTCCGTCAATAATTTTCTGTATTTGGTACACTTTCTTACATTCATATCGACCATGGTTCCTCATTCATGTCAGATGAACTTAAACGTTTCCTTCATGCTAAAGGAATCGTAACTAGCCGAACCATCGCATACAACCCTCAAAGTAATGAACAAGTTGAGCTGTTCAACGGTACACTTTGGCGTGCAATAAACCTAGCCTCATAACTCTATATTATCGAGCTAATTTTCTAGGTAATTGCTGACCGATCGCGGAACCGCATTTAAACTGTTGAGCTGTCCGTATTCGTCANATTATTTGCTCTACATTCATTTCACGTTCACGCGCCTCAATAATCACGCGATAGAAAAAATGTGACGTTAAATTGACCCCTTTACATAGACGAGAGTCCACTGTACCCGTTTACAATACCTGACAGGATTGCGCCGTCACGATGAATTTGCACCCTAACGTGGCCTGGTGGTTTGCATACCCCATGACCCTGTGAGATAAACAGGATGGCTTCTCATAGCCGCAGATCCGATCAGGCCAGAAAAGTGAATTGATAGAGTCCACATAAAACTGAGTCCCACAACACCGGGTGATTGGGCACCAGTTCTCTTTTCCTGTAGTCATTTTGGATTCCCAAAGATAAACCTCGGCATCGGTGCAGGCTACCGCAGAATATGTCGTGCTACAAAGTCCGAGGCATCCATTTTAGAAACCTGAGATGCTCAGTATTCCACCACCTCCCGTTTCTTAGAAGGTGCCTGTACTACCAAGTATTAGATAAAATGAAGCAAGAGCAAAATAATGGGTGAACGCTAGTCACAAAAAAACTTGCAGTCATTCGGTAAACTAGGTTTTGATTCTAATTAGACAGACAATACTGAAACGGGTGACAAAAAAACTATAAACTTTCTTTAACAGTAATGACTTATCAGACCGAATACATTTGGGTCAAATTACTTTGTTTTAGTTGACAATAAAATACACCAGTTTGACGTTTACATTGCCACTACTCACTTGCTGTAGCTTTCGCGAACAAGACGACTTCTCTTTTAGTGACTCGGAAAGGCGCTCCTCGGTGGATCGGAGTTTCTCCATCATCTCTTCCATTCGGGCTTCCACCAATTGGATACGATTGGTAGACTCCATGGACAACTGCTCTAGCTGTTCCTCAAAATAGGCTCGTTGTGATTCCAGTTGACTGGTCAGGACGGCACTGAATTCCATACTGATCATGTCCATTTTCTTATCGCCTGTCTCACTACCCGGACCGAGCTTCACAAGGCAAGGCACAGAAAGGCAATTTCATATGTAGTCGAATCAGTAAGCAGTAGCTTTATGCACCTGGATGGTGGAATTTTCAGCATTTTACATATATTTGTGGATGGAAATTCACCAAATCATACAAAATGAAATTGAAAGTAGTAGATATTGCTTTTGTCAATGACGCATGCGATTACGTAATTCTGAGGAAACTTTCTCTTTGTCAACATATAGCTGTGCTAGATATGGTAAAACAGGATAGCGATATGAAGAGGTACGTGGAAATAAAAGTTTGAACTTTGAGTGTGTGGATGATATTGATACAGCTTTGAAATTTCGTTGTGTAATGGGTGATGAGTGTCTGAGAGTATTTTGGCAGTGAAATTTGCACATGCTTGTAGGTGTCTGTCTGTGACAGAAACTGCAAGTTTATCCCTGACGACACCACTACATTTAGAGATGTGTTTCAGAGATGTCCCCAGTAAATAAGTCCTTTTCTCAACATACCGGAGAAAAACACTGGGGAGTACACGCATGAATTCACAACCCCAACGATCAACTTGTGGGGAACAGAAAGTATTCCTAATCGAAATGAAGCATATGGAAGCTTTTTAACTTTACGGAGTGTTTTGAACATGCAGTGACCACGATAAATTGCGTGATAGTGCGACACCAAGTTATTTTACCATTTTTGATGTCGGTCCGGTTTCATGATTGGTGGAAAGAGTGGAAAACCTATTTGTGAGCGCTGAATGTTTTGTCGGCCGACAGGGAGAACATAACGTCCTGAAATTTAGAGACATTTAACAAAAGGAAACGGGACAAGGATCAAGTAATGAAATTTAGCTTGCTTTGGATTTCTGAAGTCTCTTCGGGGGTGGATACTTCGCATCCGAAAACAACATCATCTGCGTATTTACAGTCAATGAATGCAGGAGGAATGGGAAATTGTTTGACACATTGAAAAGAAAAATGGGGGAAAATTGCACCTTGTGGAACACCAGAAGCAACCGGGTGAGTAGGATATTTCATGCCGTTGAGGCAAGTGAAATAATCGCGGATCAATCTGCTAACGTTTGGATTAACACCATTTTCGGTAATCAGATTGAGCATTACCGATCGATTAAAACTACCGAATGAGTTTTTGTAGTCTAAGTACACCATTCTGACGGTTTTGCTGTTCTTTTCTAGAGTTGAAATTATTGAATGAACAAGATAAGCAACGGCATCAGGTGTTGGGTGTGAAGAACGATATACGGATTGATGTGTCGTCTTCGGCAGACTCTGTGACAACCCACGGTAGCACGCATTTCTCAAATAATTTGATCATAACGGACGTGCAGGCAATGGTACGGTAGTTCCCAGATTCTTTTTGGGGTAGGGAGTTATCTCCAAATGTCAGGGATTTTCCCGCTTATCAGACAGACATTGAATATTTTAGACAGTGGGACTGGAGGAGCGTCTACACATACCCCGAGTACCACAGGTGATAGTTTACCTGGACCAGATTCTTTATTCATCTTTGTTTTCCGTAGCTGTCGGAGGACCGTGACAAGTTTGATAGTTGGTGGCATACAGTTGACCAAGTCTGACAGGGCTGTGTACTGTGAAACTGGACTAAACTCGGAATTTAATCTTTCAACATCGACAGTTTTCGTTTTGTGTTTATTGGTACTGCCACACATGCTCTCCACATGTCTACATCATTAGGATCTATCTTAATGGTCAGATCCCGTTGGTATCTACCAAACAAAAACTGCAATAAGTGATGGAAAGTGTGTGTGTGTAAGTTATAAGTCCCGCCATTTACTGCTGAGTCTCTACTTCATAATAATACTACTGTTCTTTTTTGAACCTATGCACAACAGTTCTGTTTTCCACATAAAGAACCTATCTAGAACGGTAGTTCAAAAATTTCTTGCTAAATTGGCTAGATACGGCTTGAAGATCCAGGGCAGAAAAGGTATATGAAAAAATTTAAAAAGTGATTGATACCGACGACCTTGAACCGAATAACTGCTGGGGAGAAGTTGCGTCAGAACAGAACAGCAGTTAATAAAAAATACCAATGACAAGCATCGAAGTAGTCAACTATCAATTACCGTCATCGGATACTCGATCTACTTCTTTCGCCACTCTCTGTACTTGGGAAGGAAAAGTAAAGGGTGTTGTATTTTTTACCGATTTTTTTCTCCACAAATACTAGGTGACCTTACTAGCATTTTGTACTCCCGAAACACGTTTGAGGCAAGTAACTAGAGTTAATACATTTTCTGTTAAGACTACTTGTGTTTTAAAGTCCTTTATAACTATTGAACAATCTTAAATTGGCTGTGGAAAAAGCTCGCTTACATGAGTGATAAGGAGTGGGTGGTCTCAATGATAATTTACGCGCTGCAAAATGTAGTATGTACAACAGGAAACCAAATTCTCCAATCGTGGAGAGATAACCACAAAATTTATTAATGGGACTGTTCTGATATTCAGTGAAACGACAGCAAAACTGTCTACCACCATGGAAGACATGCATAAGAGCATACGATATGGAGGGTGATTAGTTTTGATTAGATTACTTCTAGCAAACATGTTGAGCTCCAACAATTACGAAATTCGAATATAGTGCTTCCCGACTGAATGGACGAGCTGAGAATTAAACGTGCCTCAAAGACCCACTTCGACGTACTCTTCGGTAATTGCACCTAAAAATTTTGCGAACACTGATGCAACCGACCACGGACATTAATTACAAGAATCACATAGGGTGTTCAATAAATCGCATTTACACAAGACATCTACGAATGATGTGAATCTGGGCACCAAATTTTCATAAAGCAATGAGGATAAAACACAGTAGCACCCACTCCCGTAGTATGAAATTGCAAAGTGAAACGGGCTTTCGTTATGCCTAGCGTGCTATGCTGTATTGCACTGTATTGTATTGAAGCTTTAGCGAATTATATACAAGCTTTCAGCCAAAAAATAGACTCACTTGGACCAGTTTGCCATCCTCATGATTTACAGCTAATCGATGCACATACGCATCATCCACATAGTCCCATACCAGATTTTTGCCCAATTCCAGTGCGAATGTATGACCGGTTTGTTCGAAATGGCGATGTGCGTGTTTCTGTCCGTACCGTCCACAACCGATACGGCCACAGATCAAACAAATCCATAGATTATCTCGCGTACCACAATCTGCACACTGACGATCGTCCAGCAATTCCGGGGACTGGACGTAGCGGCACACCGGACACCTGTGAAGAGATAAAGGAGAGTCGAAGAGAGAGAGAAGCGCGTGGAAATAGTTTTGAGTAGTGGTCGATGGTTGGACAACAAACTGCTGGTTAGAAGCCACCAACTGATGTTCAGGCAGCAAGTAGGATGAACATGAATCCAGTGATAGTGAATCACATTTTTCCGAGCGATATAGTTCACTGATACGAAGATGGCAATTTCAAAACCCACCACCACTACCAACGGACGTCCGGTTTGCCGAAAAACCCCTTCTTGAAAATCGATAATAAATTGCAAATTGAACAAAAAGAAATAGTGTTGGTGTTGGTGTCTTCTCCGAGCTGAAAGTGTTGTTCGTAGACTTTTCGTAGGCAGGCTAGGCAACATTATCAGTGCAACTTCGGGGAAGTAAAAAGTCTTTTTAAAAGGGATAATTTACGGAGTGACTTTTCGTAACAAGTAGTATGCTAATGCTGTACCTGTTATGGATGGAGATCAAACCAAACCAAATTTTAAAAAAAAACACTAAACTCAGTCACCCCATTAGGAGACCTATAAAGTCAGCCGAACGGGTAGTCGACTATTTTCATTTCGTTACATCAATTACAGCCTATGAGATACTGCGGTATACACTACATTTTGTCGAGGGATGAGAGACTGACGTAAAACTTCCGACAGAAAGGTGCTTGCAGCTGCTTTTGGCAAGCCACGAATTGCTCGCATTGCTATCCCAATGAATTATTCTTTCTCCATCCGTATCAACAGAGCACCACGCAATGTCCGTTTCAATTGGTACAGCTATCAACCATGCGCTGGCTTGGCTGCCGTTATTTGGCTACACATAAGGTCAACAAATGAAGAAAGGAGACAGTTGCTAATACTGATATCAAGGTAAAAATACTGAATGCAGATAAACTAAATGTGCGCAAAAATTGAGCCACTGTTTACGACAGTCATGTATCTCAGGTTCTCGAACCACTGAGCACTCAATGTAAAGCTTGCAATTTACCTGGATTTCCATTTAGCGGTATAATGTAGTCAGACTATTCCGGATCAGGAAACCTGACAACGGAAGGCATATTGATGCCCCCAGTTTCGCACAAGGATGAGTGTCACAGAGAGAGAAAGAGCAACTCTGGCAACTTCCAAACATGCACGTTCTCTCTGCAGACTTTGAAATACTTGGGCGTGCACAAAGGAAAAAGACCATGTGCATCATGTTTGCACGAAACCGATTTGTCATGCAAAAAACGCACCATGCAAATTGAACGTATTCCATCGAAACGGAAAGCTACAAATTCATTTTACTCACGTGGAATCTTCCACTCGGGCGATACATTGATCATGAAACGTGTGATTGCACAAGATTGTGGTCAATATACCTTGAACAGGTTCATCCTGCAAGTCAAGGAAGAGATTATGGTAATTATGACTTAAATAAATTATCAAAATGGTCTTATCTTTTCTTTTTGTTTATTGACTATTAAATTTTGAAATCAACCATTCATGAGGATATATAAGAATGGAACAGATCGGTAACGATAGCGGAATTCCAACAGATTGCCTTTAGGCTACTGGAATAATGATCTTAACCACTCAACTACCAGACTTAGCCATCGTACACGGATGAAACGGCGAAACAGAATAAAATTTAACATTCTTATCCCCAGGCAAGGTTGTAGTCAAGACAGAAACCGAATACTGATGTGTTTGACGATTTATCTTTAGGGTTAGAGATTCAACATTGAAAGAAAGATGACGTGTTAAGGATACTTTCTACTGAAAGAAACCAGAGTTCTTTGGTAATTGTGACCCGCGGGTATGGTTAGAAACTTGCCTTTGATCAAATTATGATAAACCCGGTGAGATTCGAACTGATGTCGATGTTGCACAGCAAGTGGTGCAACGTGTTTCGTACAAGGGTGTAGGTGGCATGCACGCGTCGGTTTGAATAATTTTACCACCATTCCAACTTGAGTAAATGTTTCTTAATTATTCACCAAAACAACCCAGTTACGAACAAACTGACAAATGAGTCCAGTGTAACTCTTACAGAATCTTCAGAGGAGGAATTCATTGTGTATAGAACAAATGAAGCGTGAACTGAAAAGCTAGGAAACTCTGCACGGCTGTTTCGACCTGTGCGGGTCTTTTATCATTCATAATATATACGATAGTCATTTTCCAAGAGCTTAACTCACTCACCAATCGTTCCAAGCACACTGGACAGGATGGCAACTCCAACAAATCCTTCGTGGGAAAAGCTAGACCCTAATATGATAACAAATTACGCATTAGTGGAAAGCGGTTTACCTTTGCAGGGTGAGTTTTTTCCACATGAGAGACATACATTAGTTGACAAACTTCTGATTCCACATTTCTATAACATGTATTGTTGTAAGTGAGGTAAAATTGATCAGTTTCTTGCTAGAATGGAATATCGGGGGTGTCACAGATACAGTACCTGAGAACGAAATTTGAGCAGTGCCATATACCGATTGGGTGCATCGTTCTTCACAACCTTTAACTCTTCAATTGCCTCTCTGTGATAGAAAAAAATGATGCATTTCATCATCAGCAATTGCGTTACCTCATTGGTGCCACGAAAACCAACAAATCCTTCACTGTGATATAAGAAGGAACGGAAAAGATACAGAGCATGGTTGACGTCATCCCATCCGCAAACGTATGCACCTCTGTCCTGAGAAAAAGTCTGTTAACTGCAACAACGAACGCACTGATTTTTATATACATGGATAATGCCTTCAGTGGTTTCCACCATTGGGTTTCCTGAATAAAACTCAATCTCCTCCGCCGTCTGATCACGCGCTGCAGCGGCCATTTTCCAGTCTGGAATGTTAGACGGGTGAAACACCTCTTACTTTTAGGTGAATAGTATTCGATGATTATCGGGGAGAATTGCCGTTTTCCAGCTCTTGATGACACCAAAGTCTGATTCCGTTGCGTGTTAGACTTGGACGATTTCCTGGAATCTTTGAAAGGATAGGGCAGAAAATCAGCTGTGAGAGCTACCGTTGATTGTACTGGTCAACACTTACCGGAATATTTGATAGCGTCTGACAGTTTTTCTTCTTTTTCTTCGAAGAGCAGAACCAGATGATAGATAGAATTTGAGTGCATCGCACCTCAGTGACTGGGATGCATAGCACCAGTTCCAGACTACAAAAGAATGTATGATGACAATTTAGGATGAACACATGCAGCAACAAAAGGAACGAAAGTAATAGGATCAGCGTGTTCCAGATCAGTGAAAACGATCATCAGTAATCTAAGTCATTCCCATTAAACGCAATCATATAAAAGCCCTCCGTTTGGCAGTTCTCTATAAACTTATATCATTCAAGTTGGTGATTGGTTGGAAGGTTCAAAACAGACCACGTAGTTTGAAACAAGACGGTGCCGTCCATGTTCGAATTTGTGGTGTATGCAAAAAAGCATGTGGTGAATCGTATTTGTATAAATCATGCAAGCTTGAATACTTAAATTTCAAACGGAATCACTAGGAAGTGGATTCAAATGACACACATCATACGCCTTGGACGCTATCTGATTGTGTGAATTTTAACCGGTAAGAATGGTTGAAAAGTGATTATTAATGTCCTTAACATATTATTATATTTCGGAGAGCATGAAATCTTCATACAGGAAGCTGTATTAATTCAACTAAGACACGAATCTGTCTTTAAACTATATTGTAGGCATTCGTTTTCGGTGGCTTTTCTGCGGTTGTTTGCCAGGTGTGCGAATTTGAGTCATAAAAAGCCTGTTCCGTATTCACAGGTGTTGACTAGAGAGTGCGGCAGTCTTGAATCGACCTCCTCCAGCGGTAACTGATGGTGTGGTCAATTTGGGTCATCATCATCATTGTACAGTGAAATACAGTGATGCGAACTTCACTGATCGCTGCCAAACTCGCAATGCATACAAGATTAGTGGTAAAATTTAAGGTGGACAGGGATTAGACCTATTCTGAGGGAGGGGGAAGGTGAAACTCTATGGTCAACACAGAGTACGCAATTGAACTCTGCATACATATAGCTTCAAGCATTCTAACCCAGTCCAGTGCTATAAAGAGGTTGGCGGTTTCCATGTAAGGCGGTGAAATTTCTTCTTCGAGTTGTTGCTTGACAGGGACAGTCCGTGATCAGCGCCAAGTTGGAGTAGGCGTTTTTCGTTGTCCGTCCGGTTGCCTGGGATTGCGTGTGAACCACCAAAAAGCCTCTCTGATTCATCCGGGTATCCCACTTGAGCACGGAAGTCTCCGGCGACCACCACGATGTCCGTTAACTGAGCACTTTGGAGTAACTGAGAGATCCTCGCAGAATTCATCCTTCATTTCTGGTAAACTGCAATCAGTCGGATGAATAAGCATCGACGCTTTGTTATGTAGCTATCGACCCGTACTGAACCATCCAGATGTACAGCGAAAAGTCAGATACCAAACGGGATCCAGTCCAGAAGTGAACTCTCGGTCTTGACACTTAATGCAACCCTGACACTAGCAACACTGCGAGCTTTGGATGCCGGATCGCCTCACACACGAAGAGTGAAGCGTGAGGACGAGGTCTAATCTGGAGATTGCAAGGTGATGACTGAAGTAGGGTCTTGTATTCATAATTCAGAGACACAGTATCTAGATTAAAAGTTTCCAGGGTTCTAACTAAGGCAGACTGTTGTCCGATCTGATAGTGTGCGCGGACACTGAACACGGTTAGGTGCAAAGGGAATTTTGGTTTCAATAATCTGATAGCTTCTGAGTGGTTGACCTTATTGTATCACCCTCTGAGTGATATCTCATGGGTGGCGAAAACAGAGTGCATCTCCGAAGATTTGGGAGTGGCAAGAGGAGCTGGAAAATGAGAAAGAGGGTTTTCCAAATGGGTACCGAAGACCTAAGGGCATGTCATACTTCGCGGTAGCTCATACCGACTAAGGGGTTTTTCTTTGGGAACCCTAGCCGGACCTTTTGACTCAAAAGTTTGACTTCAATCTCGAATACATCTCCTCCTGAGGCTTGCTGGAGCCATGGGCCCACCTCCATAGATTACGTTGGCTGGGGCATGTGTTACGCATGTCGCCAGATAGGTTGCCAGGGAGATCGCTCGCCGAGGTAGGTAGTGGGTGGAAAAAAGTCAATGGTTGGCAAGCTAAGACCTGGCATGAGGGTGCGAAAACCCTAAACAGGAGTCTGAGGCACATAGGTTCCGTTAGGCTCCCTGGATGGGGACTTTGGGATGATCATAACTGATGGTTATAGACAATGAGTGATATGTCTTGGTGTATTAAACAGTGGCGTTTGTGTATCTTCTCAATTTTTCTGCATCATTAGTCCACGGAACCTCTCAATTTTCTCTTTGATCCTACTTTCGACTTCACTGTCTTTCTCCTCATGTTCATCCAAATGGGCAGCCAAACGACAGCAACCAAAACCGGCGCACGATAGG